GTGTGCCTGCAAACATTTGAATAGCTGTGTGGATTAAATCTTGTACAGTTGCATGTTGGCTAAGGCACAGTAGATATTAACAACAGCAGTTAATGATTTATGACACAACAACTGACAATGCCCAACATCTGAATCTTGTCAAGTCATGGTTCCAGTTTTCTGAGGTAATTATATTGAACCGTCACTGTCGAGCCCCTGTACTACTTCCCTGCCAGCTCTTGGTGTTTGCTGAGTGGGTGCTCGTGGGGAGAGGTGAACAGTTAGTTTGATGGATAAAGAGCCAGCAGACGGTGCAGCCACAAGGATCTGAGCTAACTTTAGGCTCCAGTGTGATCACATCCCATGTAGTCTGCTAGCTTCATATTAAATAGACTTTACGTGAACAAAATTGTATTAAATATATTAACACAATGCATTTTTATTTTTATTTTTATGCTAAGCAATGTTTAGATTTTACCATTCTGTTTCAGTAAAATATTATATGGCTGTTTTTTTTTTCTGCATTGGAATGGCGTGACTTTGTTGATTTAAAAGGTGTCTCTATATTTTTGTCCTCCCCAGCTACATATATGACAGGGTCAGAATATTAGTAACACCTCCGAATATAATGCAGTCCAGTACAACATCACCTTTAACTATGACCTCATTAATACACACATAATGGAATTTATAAGGATTTCGCCAAAAACTGAGACATTTTGAGCTTTATAAACACAGACGTTAAGGCGGAAGTGTTGCATTTAATTGCATACAGTTGTACAGGTGTTTCTAATAAAGTGAATGTATATGACAGCAGGAGTGAAGGGCTTTTATTTTTGTTAAAAAACATTCACACTCCAGCAACAATTTTATTTTTGTATTACTCTGAATGTTTGCTGTAACTAGAACTATTGAAATGGCTGATAACACACTTCCCTATTCAATATTGTTTTTCCTATTTACTAAAATGATAATTATTTGACATGAATGATAATTTTTTAGCATGAAGGTTTCTGCAGCCAAATGTCATTTTCTTATTTTCTGAAAGACATGAAGTTTTTTTTTCTGCC